AGCGCGCAGTCTCCTTTGCTCATGAGGCTGTGGGAGGGGAGGCCTGGGTTCCATGAGGAGCTGCCTCTCCCCCAGGCGGTTCTTGCTCATGGTTCTTGCTCACGCGGAGGCTCTCCCTGGCCAACGTTTCACTGGCCCCAGTGCTCTCCTGGGTCTGTGCTTGCTGGGCTGCCCGCGGGGGTTGTGGTTTCTCTGGATCGTCTGTGCTGTTTGCAGGGGTTGCCCGCAGCAGCTCTCTCCCCAGCTGCTTGGGAAGTAGAGACACTCACTGCAGGGTGTGCTTGCCACCAGCTCCTTGTTGGGGTCATCGTGTGGCCATGTGGTTGGTTTACGGGATACACTTGTGGGGAGATGCAGAGCTTGTCCAGGCTGAATTGGGAGAGGCCCGGCACCTGGATCCCAGGGGTGACATACTGGAGCTTTGTGGGCCACATTTGCCTGAGGACTGGAGGGCCATCTTGCTGAGCCTGTGGCTAGAGTGCACACCACCAGGTCATCTCTCTCTCTCTCTCTCTCTCTCACACACACACACACACACACTTACTTTAAAAAAACAACAACCAGGATACTGATCAATAAAGCAAAGTGTTCAAAGAATATCCCTTGATCCTTCAGGAGAGATATATAAATGAATACATAATGAGCTAAACATCCATAGGATGTTTAGGAAAATGCAGATTCCAGGATGTCAAATCGAGACCTGGAATCAGAATACCTGGGATGGGGCCCCCAAATCTGCATGTTTGAAACAAAGTTCGGGTTGTACTGAGGCTTGTTGAAATTGAAAACCACAGTTCACGATGTGTGTTTTTGTTTGAATTCTCACCTGAGGATATCTTTGTTTATATTTTTTAAGAGAGAGGGCAAGGGAGAGAAAGAAAAACATCGATGTGAGAGACAAACATTGATTGGTTACCTCCTGCACACACCCCGACCTGGGATTGAACCCACAACCGAGGTATATGCCCCGACCAAGAATCGAACCCGTAACCTTTCCATATCTGGGAAGATGCTCCAACCAACTGAGCACACCAGCCAGGGCTGAGATGCTTTTTAAAAAAAGTTGTAAAATATACATAACGTAAAATTTACCATCCTAATCATTTTTTAAAAATCTTTTTTCCACAGTTTATTTATTTTATTTTATTTTTTAAAATTGATTTCAGCAAGGAAGGGAGAGATAGAAACATCAATGATGAGAATCATTGATCCACACCGGGGATCGAGCCTGCAACCAAGGCATGTGCCCTTGGCTGGAATCGAACTCGAGACCCTTTAATCCACAGGCCAATGCTCTATCCACTGAGCCAAACCAGCTAGGGCCATCCTAATCATTTTTAACTATACACATCAGTGGCATTAAGTACATTCATGTTGTGCAGCTAATCTCTGGAACTTTTTCATCTTGAGAAACTGAAACTCTATACTCTTGAAATAACTCATTTTCTCCTCCTCCAGCCCCAGGCAACTACCATTCTACTTTCTATTTCTATGAGTTTGACTACCGAATGCCTCATATAAGTATTTAAACTTTTGTGACTGGTTTATTTCACTTAACATAGTGTCTTAAGGGTCATTCACATTGTAGCATGTGTCACAATTTCCTCTTTTTTAACACTGAATAATACTTCATTGTATGGATATACCACATTTTGCTTATCCATTCCTTTGTCTGTGGACATTTGGGTTGCTGTCACCTTTTTGCTCTTGTGAATAGTGTCACTAGGAACGTGGATGTACAAATATCTCTTTAAGACCACGTTTTCAATTCTTTGGTATATCCCCAGTGTAATTGCCAGATCATATAGAAATTCTATTAAAATTTTTTGAGGAATCACCATACTGTTTTCTCCAACAGCTGCATTTTCATTTCCACCAACAGTGTACCAGGGTTCTAATTTCTCCACATCCTTGCCAACACCAGTTTGTTGGGTTTTGATACTAGCCATCCTTATTGACATGAGGAGATATCTCATTGTGCCCTTGGTTTGCATTTCCCTACTCATTAGTGATGTTGGACATCCTTCCATGTGCTTGTTGGCCATTGTATGTCACCTTTGAAGAAATGTTTAGTCCAGTCCTTTGCCTGGTTTTTTATTTAATCATTTCACGGTTTTTGTTGTTGTTATTGTTGTTGTTGTTGTTGAGTTACAGGAGTTCTTTGTAGATTTAGATTTTAATCCCTTATCAGATATATTGTTTGCAAATGTTTCTCCAATCTGTAAATTGTCTTTTTCACTGTGGATTGTGTGTATCTTTTTATGCAAGTTCTGCAAGTTCTTTATATACATTATAACGCTGCAGAGAAAATAGTATTATTTCATATCCCAGTTTTATAGGGATGGAAACGTAGGCCCAGTTTAGTTAACTTGCCTGGGGCCACACAGCTGTAAGTAAGTGTCAGGGCTGGCATTCAAACGTGGGTCCCTCTGACTCCGAAGCTTGCAGCCTTTTCATTCCTCTCCTTTACCTCCCATTCCCCCACTGAGCTAACAGCATAAGGAGGCCCCATGGGGGTCTGCAGGAAGTGGCATGGATTTGAGAAGCATTCAGTTACAAGCGAGGATGGACGGAAGACTTGGCAGTTTTTCACTTTTGGCCACTGGGTACACCTTCCTGTAGGCCTGTGTCATTGCTTAGACCTGAGAAAGAGCAGAGACGTGCAGACTGTCTTATTTGTTGGTTGGTTTAAACATTTCATAGGCTTGTTTCAGAGCCCAGCTGCTACTCAGAGTTCCCCCAACCGTCCGCGTTTGCTCACACTGCTGTTGATGCCACGCCTTCTGCCTGTGGTCCCTTCTCTTCTCCACATGCACGCTCCCTCTTTCAGGGAGGCCGCTGGAGTGGCAGCTCTTCCCTTGCGTCTCCACGGCTCACCAGGCAGAAGCCAGTGTCCCCTCATTTGTAGTCCCTTTCTGTTTGTCTCTGTATCACCCGGCACAGTGGCACTGTCCAGTCTCGGCCCCAGACCAGTTAAATCAGAACCCGGGGGTTGGGATGGGCAGCTGCGGTCCTTACAGACTCCTTAGGCGAGTCTGCTCTGCAGGCAGCCGGGAGCCCCGCCGGCCACTGCCAGGCCCTGGCCCAGCGGCGTGAACTGAAACTGCAGAGAGTGCTGCCCGGCCTCCCTTCTGCTGCAGGTGGCCGTCTCTGCAGTTGTGCTGTTTGTCCTGCATGGGCTGCTGGTGCCCTCCTTTATCCAGTGAAACATGGGTGATCTTGAGAGGATGGTAGGAACTTCATTCATCCACCTTCCTTCCTTCCATCTATCTATCTATCATCTATCTATCTATCTATCTATCTATCTATCTATCTATCTATCTATCCATCTATCCATCCATCCATCCATCCATCCATCCATCCATCCATCCATCCATCCATCCATCCATCCATCCATCCATCCATCCATCCATCCATCCATCTATCCATCCATCCATCCATCCATCCATCCATCCATCCATCCATAACCATTTATTGAGTACCCACTGTGAGTCAGGCCCTGGTGAACATAGCACCTTGGAACAACTTACATTCTTCTAGGGAAAGTGTTATAACCTGAGTGACGAGGGTGTGTGTTCCTGTGTGCACATGTATGTGCACTGACCATGTCCTTGGACTGCACCATGATGCTCAGGGACAGCACCTGTCTGGCTGGGCCATTGGGGAAGTTTGGGGCCGAATGGAAGGTGTGTCCCAGGTTTGGAATGGTGGGGGAGAGTGTCGTAGGGAAGGAATGAGGGGACCTGTGCTGCAGAGGGGGAGACGGGTTCTCATTCTGAGGCTGTTCCTCATGGGTGATTACCTTCAGGGTCTCTCCATTCATTTGTTCACTCATTCAGTCAGTCATCAAACACCTCATGAACACCTGCCGTCTTCAGAGTTGTTATTGGCCAGCTGTGGGCCAGCTGTTTGAGCATCACCGGGGCTTGTTAGAAATGCAGCTTCTCGGGCTCCCTCCTACACATGTTGAATCAGTACCTGGGAGTGGGTTCAAGACTCTGTTTTAACAAACCCTCCAGGTGACTCTTAGGCCCGCATTTGGGGACTCCTGCTCCGGGTGCTGGATTTCCCGTCCTCACCAGTGCACACCCGCCCTCCATGCTCAGCGCCCAGGCGCCCCCTACATGTTTGTGGGCCGACTGCTTTGCACCGGGTCCTGATAGGTTCTGGGAGTGGGGGAGCCCCTCCAGGGGGAGGACGGCAAGGCCAGTGAGTCTGAGGTACTCACGGGACAGGCAGCTGGTGACAGACACTAGATACACACCCAGCTTCTGGAGGTATTTTGGAAGTCATCAGCATACGGGTAGAATGATTAAATGCCCAAATGTATGCAAGGAAACTCTCAACATCCATGTGAAAGTCGGAGAGGGGGGGGTGGTGGTGATGGGCGGGCCTGGCGACCTGACGCCATGTGTCCTGATGATTCTGGCCCGGGGGCCCATGTGGGTGTTGAGATGAATTGGCATTATTTTTCTCTGCAGACACTGTAGCCTGGAGGGCAAGGGGTGACTCATGTCACTGAACATCAAGAAAGCATTGCCCTGGGGCCTCCTGGGATAGTTTCATCTGTAGGGCATCTGCCTTCTGTTGGGGTCGTCTTTCTTCGTCTTCTCCAGGGGACAGTGTGGCACCAAGACCTGAAGGGAGTGGGCAGGACGACCCTCACTTGCAGTCATGGTGGGCAAGACGGTGCAGGGCTCAAGTGTTCAGGAGAATGCCACCCCTCCCCGACCCCCCACCAGCACCAGGAGCCCTGGTTTTGCAGAGTCAGGCTTGGGAGGGGCAGGACTTGGGCCACTGCAGTGCTGTAGAACTTGATCCCGGGTTTATTTTTGGAGTGAGTTCCGGGATCTAGCACTGTACTGTACTGGGCTGCCGCAACCTGAACCCCCGGCCTGCCTCACGTGGTTTATAGGAGATCTGTGTGGAAATCAGTGGTTAATATAAACCTAATCATAGGTCAGATGGCGTGGATGTGTTTCTACACCAGATTCTTCTATTGGAAGCAGCAGACCTTTACTGGGGGAAAGGAAGTGCTTGCCATTGTTAGTGCCTGAGCTGGAAAATTCTTTGATCGAGGTATGCGTAGGAAAACATTTGCTTTCGTTTCCCAGTATCTTAGCAGCCTTCCCAGTAGCCTGTGGCTGTTGCCACCAGACCACACTCAACAGCACTTGTCAGAGTGACTTGGCTTCTGACTGGTCTCTAGATAAGTGGTCCAGACCAGAGTGCAGGAAGCACCAGGATGCTATCCTGAGTCCACAGGGACGGCCATCAGCCTGTGCACCGTCTCCCGATAGCAGGCTGGCCTCAGCTCCCAGCCTCCTGAGGAGGTAGGTCTCTGCACCTTGGCTGTAAGGGAGGTGGCCCCGTGTGTGTGTTTGTGTGTGTTGAGGGGTGCATCGGGCTCCCTCTCGTGGGGTGGGCAGTGTCCTGCACCCTGCTTACGTTTATCAGCAGAAAGGTACCTGTTATCATGGGCGACAGACAGGGGGCATGGATTCCTGCAGACCCCACTGCCACTGGGAGTGCATCGGGCTCCCTCTCGTGGGGTGGGCAGTGTCCTTCTGCGCCCTGCTTAAGTTTATCAGCAGAAAGGTACCCGTTATCATGGGCGACAGACGGGGCATGGATTCCTGCAGACCCCACTGCCACTGGGGAGCAGGCAAAGCTGACGGTCTCTCATTAGTGAGACCCTGTTCTCAGGCCGTTTCCCACCGCGAGTAAAATACTTATACACTGCTCTTCCCGGCCCTGCAAGCTGGTCGCTGTGGGCAGACACTTGATGTCTTTTGTGCCCTTGACTTTGGATTTCAAACAAGCTGATCGCAATTTCGTCCTTCTGTGGGGACTTAATTAACCCACTTTTTTGTCATTTCAATTACAGTAGCCCAATTTAACCGGCGTCTCCCCCCCTCTTCCCCCCAATAGTTTGAAATTACTCTCCTCAAAAGTTGTGTGCGAGTCACGCCTCAGCCTTGCGGGCAGTGCTGGCTGGCGCTGCTTCTGAGCTGCAGGGAAGCCGCGTGGGGGTTCCTGCTGCTCCTCCTTTGAAGGCCCCACTCCCGGCCCCCTGCAGTTGTTGTCCCCCATCTTTAAACTCCTCAGCCTGCACCCCACCCCGCTGCTAAAGGGGCCTCAGTGGAGAGAGGTCTGAGCTCTGTTAGTTGGGGTTTGATTTCAGTACAGGAGTTGATAAAATGAGATAAACCCCGGGCTCACGGGGCCGGGGAAATTAAACAGAGATGATATCAAAGTTCCCCTGAGTTTTCAACTGTGATACAGTAGCTTAGTTTTCTCCCAGACTGGGGCCGGGAGGCACGCCTTTGATTCTGAAACAATGTTCAGCATCAGTTAAGCCCAGCACTGCTGACTTTTAGGGATTAAGCAAACTGTTGTAGTGATTCTTTGATCAGTTACAAGGGAGCAGTGTGCTGTCTGTATGAAGGGGCTTTATAGTTAAAGTTCATTTCTCTGTGAACCTGGGATGACAGCATTGGCGAGGTGCTGCAGTGCTGGGAGCTGGGGCCTCCCCCAGGCACTGTTTGCAGCATTGCAGGCAGAAGCAGGAAGCGGTTTTCTTCTTCCGCCCTGTGTTGTCGCATTGTATCCATCCAGCATGGCATGGAAAGAATCCTCTGGCTTGGAAAACACACCTCACCCTAACGGGACCCCAGCTAGTCCTAGTGTGTATATGCAAGGCATGTGCGTGCACACACACACACACACATACACACACATGCACACACGCACTCCCACCTTGCAGAATACAGGAACAGCTGCCCAGAGCCAAGCTCTGCAGCCCCCCAGACTTGCAAATGATCTAGCAGAGGCTGCCTGGGCGCTGAAGGTAGAGATTGGGATGGGGATTGGGACCAGATGGCCCAGGAGGTTCAATTAGGAGGATAAGCTCAAGGTCAGTGTTGCCACCGCACTCTCTCCATGCCCAAGAGCAGACCCAACTCCCAGGTGCTGCCACCACCTTCCTTCCTTACCTGGCATTTACTGAGAACCTACTTAGTTTCATGTCGGCTCCGTCCTGTGATTCTCAGTAATTTCAACATCTGTTGCCATCTGAAGTACTGGGTCCACTTTTGGCTTTCACTGTAGAGACCCTCCTTGCAGCCACAGCCAGGATGGTAGAAGTTTCTCAAATTGCTCCCTCCCCCTGGTTGGCCTGCGACTTGCAGTTGTAATGGAGCCCCTGTGTGCTGTCGATCGGCTCGCACCGCACCATGCATCAACCTATTCCCTCCTGTGCAGCGCTCGGATCTCCCTCATTAGGCCTAAATTTACCTCCGTCCTACACAAACATGGCCTTAGCTCATTTTTATTGTTGTAAATTATTTATGAGGGAGATGTTGAATCTTGAAACGGAGGTTCGAGGGAAATTAATCCCATGTTACTTTTATCTTGCTGTACTTTTCTCCCCCTTGCTTCACTTGCTGGGCTATGGCTAGAGAAAGAAGAGCTTTCCATTTTTACCATAATTAGTGTTGAAACTGGTTTTCCAGTCGGATATGGGATGGGATGGCGGCGTCCCTCTGCACGGTGTCATGGGAAGCAGACCTGGCTGGGGAAGGAGGGCAGAGGTCCTGTTAGGCTCTGCCTCTGCCAGCTGCATGGTGTCTGAGAACGCCAGGCCTCCGCTTGCTCTCCTGTACGATAGGGACAGTGCAACCCAGCCACCTCCCAGGTTTGGTGTGGTCATCGGTGGAGAAGCAGCCTGAGAAAGCTTCCTGAGGATTGCAGGGCTCTGTACACGCACGCAGCAGGGGTGTGTGTGCAGCAGGGGTGTGTGTGCAGCAGGGGTGTGTGTGT